TATAGCATTTTTGAATTTCATTTACTTGTAAGGCACAGAAAGTCGGATTTCTATCAAAACTTCATACTCAGATTGATTTAAATCAATTTATGAATTTGAAGATATACATGTTTTGCTTAAGAAAATTATTAATGTTCTATTTTCTAAAAATGATCGCTCAAATAACGAAAGATTTCTTAGTTTAAAAATAAATAATAAAAAAATAAGTAAAATTGAAATTTATCAATATATTTACCTAACAATATAGAAGGAAAATTTAAAAAATAAGTTGGTTAAAATTTTTTAGTATGCTTAAAACAAAGTGCTAAATAAATTTAAAAAAACGCTTTTGAAACAACACTATTTTTTTTCTATTATTATTTCACATAAATAATTAAGTTAAATTGAATAATTACCGAATTCTGAACGAAAAAACAAAGTAAGGTTTAGTTTCTTAAAAATAAAAACGAAAGAATTATGATATTCGATAATATATTTAACTGACAATATTGAAAGAAAATTAAAAAACACGATTATACTCTTTAATAAAANTTTAGTATGCTTAAAACAAAGTGCTAAATAAATTTAAAAAAACTCTTTTGAAACAACACTTTTTTTTCATTATTATTTCACATAAATAATTAAGTTAAATTGAATAATCACCGAATTCTGAACGAAAAAACAAAGTAAGGTTTAGTTTCTTAGAAATAAAAACGAAAGAATTATGATATTCGATAATATATTTAACTAACAATATTGAAAGAAAATTAAAAAACACGATTATACTCATTTATAAAATGAAGTGCTAAATGATTTTTTAAAAAATAATAAGTCGCAAAGCTTACTAATTTTTTTGAATAAACAAAGTTGATTGACTTATGTCCAAATCCAAAAGAGGAAAAATAAGTTTTGTTATAATTTTGTTTATAAAAACAACTAAAGATTTATAAATTTAAAATCAGTAATAAAAACCCATTAAATTATTAGAAGTTTTATCCAAAGAGTTTTTAATAAATTAAAATAAAGTAAAAAATAGCCTAACAAATTCAATTACTTTGTAATTTAATTCTTTATGGGCACCTTAAATTAGATTTCCAATTGTAATAAATTCAATAATGTATAAAATTACTTAAACATATAATATCAAAATTAATTTTCACACTTAAAAATGAAAAAAAAGTTTTGTTCTGAAAAAAAATTTACCTAATTAATTAATAAACTTTTCTTTATATATTCTTTTCAATAATAGATTACGTTCAGAACAAGGTAACGCCGGCGATCACAAAGTCAGTCGCTCTAAAAATAATCTACAAGAAACGATATCAAGACGCGACAAAGACAAACTATGAGGCTCGAAAACGAACACGCGAGATCACGATATATATTCTCAAAACTATGGTTCTGATTCTACCACTCATCAATCAAGGCTATTTCAATATAACGAAACGAACATCGTCTTCCACAGCGCGAGTCGGTATTAGTTGCAAGAAGATCCTTGGGCGTCTTATATCGATACATCGTTTCGCGCTCGTCGTCTTCAGTCTGAAATGCTCGTCGGCTTAAGTCAGATTTCTGATGCATCGAAAGTTGCTGTATCGGCTTTCTGATATATGTGCTAATTCGATATGTCTCGATACATCGATGTTTGGGTTGTTTGCCCAGTCCTAGTCAAGGGCATAGCTTTTTCATAGAAAAATTCTTTTAATTCAGTAAATAACGTTTCACCTTTTGTTTCGATTTTCCAACATTTAGCAAACAACAATTCTCGGCAAAATGTTTCCTCTTTTACAAATCTTACATAAGCTGAAAATTAGCTTCGTTTCCTGTTAATGCTGACTCTCCAAGCTGTTTAAAAAAAAAATTAAGATGTTTTTAAATATTCACAAAAAGAAAAATTATACACACCGAGCAATTTCCTCGATATTTCTTTGGACTGTATTATTGCGCAGTTGAATTTTTATTTAATAATCTGGGAAAAACTGGATTCTGCAACACGTTGCGTATAACCTCATTTACAGCTGGTAAAATAAGTTCTTCGCTAACAATGTGCGGTTTTTCAGACTTTGCAATCAATGAAGAAATGCTATAAGAAGTGCTCTGTCCATCGTCATCTCGTTTAGATGTTGACCCTATAAGCTGTTGCAGGGATGGTCTTTTCAAATCTTTTTCCTTGACTTTGTGTTTGTTTTGTGAAAAAACTTTAAATCTTTATTTTTTTTCCCTCTGGATTTTATTAAATGTTTCTTAAGCTTAGAAAGTTTCATTGAATCATTTGACATAGTTTTATTACAAAGTAAATCATAGGTCAAGTCACCATAAGTCACCGTCACCGTAGGTCAAGTACTATTTACTGGTAAAGTAATGAAGTGATAAGCAACACTGTATCATACTTCGGCATACTTATTCTGTTAAAAAGGGAACAAAATAAAATGAAAATTTGTATATCAAATATTTTACTTGTAACAAACCACTGTTAATAATTATTAACTTTTTCAATGGAATGCTGCAGTAAAGCCCTTTTGAATTAATTATTTGACGAAAGGATAAAATTTCATGCAATTTTTGAATAAAGGATAATTTTTTATAATTAACTTCTTTCAAATTAACATCTGTATTTGAAAAAAATTATAATCTCTTCCTAAGTTTTAAATTAAAGAAAGTAATCCCTTTATTTACGTGAGGGGAATAATCTACGTTAATTACCATTGAAAAATGTAATACGTAATTTTTTCAAAAGAGATCCAATTCACTGAAATACACTTACGTAACAAGGGTACACTATCTGCTCATCAATAATGCAACTATACAAAAAAAATGCAACTATACCAAAACTTCCAATTAACAATGCATAACTTTTCTTTGTCTAAGACTGGCAAAATTTGTTTGCATACTTCGTATCAGCATAACATAAAACAAAATTGCTGATTAGATGTACGACTCTTTTATAATTTATGTTTATATTGTAGACAAGTTAGAGCATGTAGCTGCGTTTATTGTATTCCTGTATAAACCTGTTTTCGACCGTCTGATTCACATCATACTACGATCGTTATTAACTTAAGTAGCAGGCGCCATCTAGAACTGGTAAATCAAAGGCGTGTGTCAGTGGATTTCCTTTTATTTTCGTTTGTGAGGGATTATCTTAGTTTCTTTTATTGTTATTTCATTTTTACTTTGTTGCTATAATGTAGTTATTTGCGTGTTGATGGAAATTGAAAGCTTAAATTTATTGAACTAAATTGAACAATAACAGTTTTAGTAAGAACATCAAAACAAGATATACACTCCAATGTTGCTGCAAGTGACAAATTCAATGGAAATAAGTTTTACCAATGTTCATTCACAAATGTTACATAACGAGCAGTACTTTAAAAAAATACTGTATTTTACGCATTCAGCTATATTTATATTTTACTCAGGTCGTAAAAATCGCTGCAATTTAATTCAATGCTATTTATTTTAATTGACATAATAATAAAATGAATCACAGTTTTGTTATTTTATATTAAACATTGCATGGCCCCCCTGCTTCGATAGCCTGACGACCTGCTCGCGAATATATTATTGATTGAATTTGGATACTGTTTGTTGTGATTTGGTTGATTTTTTTGTGATCTATGGCTGCCCACAAAAAATCAACAAATTCTTTGAACCGCTACATAGTTTTTATTTTCTTTTTATATACTACAACAAAGTACTTTTACATACTTTTTATATACATTAGCAAAGGAATTGTCACAATGCAATGCTATTAATGTGTATAAATAATTACATTTAAAGATGGAAAATACAATGAATGAANGTACCAGGTTTTTCTCTTTTCCGTCTTGCTATATAAGGGCTTTCACCCATGCGTAGGGACCACTTTGGGAACCACTAATCTAATTGCTTACTAAAGACTAATCGAACCAAACTATCATTTGGTTTGATCAAAACCTCCCAAACTTTTTTTTTTCAATTTACAAAATACAAATCCTTTTTGCTTGTTTCTTAATACTTTCTTTTTTCAATACATTTAAAAATATTACAATATTTCTTACTTCATGTTTCATTTTTGACTAAGCAATTAGTGTTTCGATTTTCCTATTAATGCTTCGAAACGCTGATGTGTACCTTTTAGTTTGGTCAAAATTATATTGAGATGAAAATTGCTTAAATAAATAAATAAAAATAAGGAATTTTAAGAAAACTTTGAGTTTTAAACTAATATGATCAATCAACAAAAATTACGATTTTATTCAAATTTTTCTGATTTGCTACACCTGACTAAATATTTTTTTAGAATGGTAGGCAGTCGAAAATTAAAGCTTTCAAAATTTTGATTAATCTTGCCAACATTTGAGGAAAAAAATTATGCTAACTTTTAAATCATTCACATTTAATGGGGTGAAAATTAACTAAAAAAGAACTTTCTTAAACAGAGAAACATTCAGTAAAACGCGAAACTTTTTACCACAAAAAGAATTTTATCACATAATCAAAGCCTAGAAAGTTGGCAAATCTGGCTTGATTGTAAGGTGTTCAGAATATTATTGCTTGAATTTGGATCTTGTTTGTTGAGATTTGGTTGATTTTTAGCCATCTATGGTTGCCCACAAAAACCAACCAACTCTTAGAACCGTCCGTTACATAGTTTATATTTTCTCCTTATATATTATAACAAATTTTTAGCAAATAAATTCTCGCAAAGCAATGCTTATAATGTATGTAAATAATTAAGTTTTAAGATTGCAAAAGCAATAGCTGTATTGTAAGATATTCCACATATTATTGTTTGTTGTAGTAGTTCATTTACGTCACACTAGAGCTGCACAATAGGCTATTGGCGACTGTCTGGGAAACATGATGATCCGAAGACATGCCATCGCAATTTTGATCCTCTGCAGAGGTGATGGCACCCCAGCTTCGGTAACCTGACGACCTGCTCGCGAATATATAATTGTTTGAATTAGGATACTGTTTGTTGTGATTTGGTAGATTTTTTGTCATCTATGGTTGCTCACAAAAAAACAACAAGGTAATTCTTTGAACCGCTACACAGTTTTTATTATCACTTTATATACTACAAAAATTTTTAACAAAGGAATTGTCTCAATGCAATGCTATTAATGTATGTAAATAATTACATTTAGAAATGGAAAATACAATGAATGAATCACTTAAATCATAAAAAAGTTAATTACGCTTCTTACGACAATTTAAATTTCAAACATTGTTCTTGTGATTCAATGTTCTATTCCCTCTTGCAATCTGGTTTTCCGTTTTGGGGAAAGGTTTGCAAGTTGCCTTCCTTGTTAACGCACCAGCACACACTACCGTTGCATTGAACAGGAGCATAGTCACCGTTTTCCAAACAATCAGGCTTGAATCCGCCATCTAAATTTTTGTTTAAAGAAAAATCAGTAATCAAATAAACTCTCACATACAACGTCAAGGCATGCGTTTTAATCAAAAATAGAGTGCTTCATTGTCTAATTTAGGTAGATGGGTATTTCATTTACTGCGCACTAGAGCTGCACGATGTCAACAGTCAACAGTCTGGTTATAGTCAACAGTCTGGGAAATATCCCTAAGGACGATAAAATAACATGCCATGACAATCAGTGAGGCCACTTCCTCAATTTAGTCATAGATCTGAAAGGGAAGGAAATTTTCTCCTGGTCCCTGTATCCAAGGTACTGCTCAGTGACCTACCACAAGACATTCGATTCCACAGATTTTGTGACCACGTATATCGCTAGTACTGGGTGGGTCTTCGCGGAATCGAGGATCGAACCAGGTTTACTTGCACGTTGTTCTGATAGTACTAATTTTAAAAAACAGTGTCGAAGCTTTCAATTACAGGAGGCGATGCCAGATTTTAACTCTTCGATTATATACACTTGAAAAGAGTTGCTTATAATGTGTGGAAGGGCCAAATTCTACTGTAGTAAAAAAAATTGCAATTTTTTACAAAGTATCCTTAAGTTTTTCCTTAAAATTTAAAAAATATATTTAAATTTCAAAAAATTTTTATTAAATCTGTTTGAAAATTATAGTTTATTCTGAATAAAGTTTGCTTAAGATAAATATTTATCTGTTAAAGATTTAAGTTAAAGATTAAGTATTTTAAGTTTTAATGTCCTTAGATCTCAAATGGTTGCCCCCGGTGCTCACATTTTTTTTTTTTTTTTTTTTTTTTTTTTTACAAATAGTCAAAGCCATATTTTGATTAATAAACTCGTGTTTTCACAAGCATTGTTAGAAAAAATTTAAGGCTTTGTATATGATNATGAGTTGCTATGGCGACCGCTGCTGTTTGATAATTGCTTTTTCAGAATTCTTTTTTACTTTCTTAATGTATTTACATAATAATAATTTACAGTATTTTTATATTCTTTTATTATTAACTGATAGTTACTGTTTTGACAGTGATTTTATTATAAATATGAATACTGAGGAAGGAAGGTAATGTCTTGAAACACGAATATAGCCAGGATTTGAAAACCAATCCGACGACAGACATCAATTGAGACAGTTTTGCAACTCATGATTTGAAATGTTGTGGCGTTTATCGGAGTCGAATCAGAAAAAAAGCATTTGACCAATGGGTAACCAGTAATCGTCATAAAGAGATCAAAATTTTTTTATATTTTTTTTAATTTTTTATTGAAATGCAAAAAACAAAATACAGAAAAAATTCAAAAAAACGAAGTGAAACCCAAAATGTTAACCAAAATGCAAATAGTATAAAATTTGCCTTTTTATTTTTATTTACGGGACAGTATTTTGATTTTACTTATTTAGTTTATTTTGATTTGAAAATTTGGAAAGTGCGATAACATATACAAAGGCAATATTTTATAAATTCTTATTCTTTCCATAGTTTGCTCAATATATTGTTAATGGAAATAAATTTCCTTTTCAAAAAATGTCATTTCTATTTCATTGGCATTTTACTTAAAATAACTTCATCAAGACAACCGAAAAATTACATAAATAATAAAATATAGATTAGGAAATTATTGGAGGTTTCGTCACTGGTTTTAAAAAGTACTAACTCACGGAACCTCTTTAACTTTTCCATGGAACAGTTTTGTTCCTCAGAACGTCGTTTGAGAAACGCGGAATTAGAGGACTCACATTTCAGCTTTTAAAATTGCCCTTAAAAAGAGCATTCATTAGAGTGAAGTATGTTTTAAGAAAAAAAAGTGCTTACTAGAATTTTCGGCCTTCTCTCTAACCAGTGTACAATTTTCAGCAGCGAAAGTGACTGCAATCAAGCTGAGAACAAGTAAAACGTAGAAAACCTTCATAATTGATTGGCTGAAAAAAGATAAACAGAAGTTACTGAACAAGTTCAAATAATTAAAAAAAAACATTATTATTTCCATGCTTAAAATTCACTTTAATTTTTCAACATCGTTCATTCTTAGATGATGGGGAATTTTATGCCTTTAAGTTTTTAAAAAAAAGTCAGTTAACAAATTAATAGAACCATCAGCTCCTACATCAGAAAGCCTCCACACAGTATTTTATAATTAGACTGCGCAGACTATTTAAAAAGTGAACTAATTGTGCGGATGAACCCATTTTCTATTTTAAAAGTACTTGAGAGAAATTTATCATCATTACAGGCCCTCAGCAAAGGTACCTCAAGCCTAATCCTGAATATCGTAGAACAACTTGGGCAATTTCAACGTATCCAGAAAAAAAGCTTCTTGAAGTGGATTCCCGCCCATGTAAACCTTGAGCTCAATGAAATAGCTGATTCCTTGGCTGAAAATGCCAGAGATCTCAATCATAATACTATCCCAACCACGTTGGCAGATGCAAATGCTTTTGCAAAGTCAAGACTATTTACCCCTTTAAAAATCAAAGCCCGCAATCAAATAACTAATCTTGACATCGACAGGAAGACAGCCACCACTCTCATCAGACTAAGAACAAAACATCATAAAAACCTGAAAATTTCTACAGGTGGAACGAGAAAATATCAAAACTGTGGCAACTGTCTTAATGTGGAACTCACACCATATCATGTTTTTAACTGCCCTGCAGTTGCTGCAGGCCTTCACCTCCTAAACTACCCTACAGAAGAGGATTTGTATTCATTTAATGCCATAGAGATAACAAAAACTATTCATGCACACTATGAGATATGATTCAATAGAAGATACGACACCAACCAACCAACCAGAAATTTATCATCTAATATTTGAGAATTGAATCTGTAGTGTTTGACAAGTAAATAAGACAAACCAATCATATTCGTAAATTACACAAAGTTTTAGACATATATTTGCTACCACTTTCTTATTTTTACCAGATTTACCTTCATAGTCGATGAACAACCTGGCACGAGCGGTCGAACACCGAGACGACCGGGTCATCGTTATAACAGAGGATCTCTCAAAATAATACAAACACCAAGTTATATAAATTATGATACTAAATATATATATGATATTTTTTCTATTTTCAATACTACTACTTTTGTGAATAATCTTGTACATATTTTTTACTATCCATTGCTATTACACGCTATTGACTCAAGGGACCTTCCCAGTTAATTTCACTACAGATAACTAGCCTTATGTTAGTAAATTTCCAATACATCCCCCCCCCTTGAACCTAAAGCCACTAGCATACCTGCCAACTCTCCCCCCGCATTTTGCGCGAGATTTTATTTCCATATTTAAAGTGGTAATAAATATATACTATTTTTTATTTTATAAATTTAATTTTTAAATGATTTTGATCACCACTATTCTTGCAAAAATTAAGCACATATATTAATATGCGTTACTATTATGGTTGTCAACTTAATTTTTTTCAAATACAACGCATTTGTTTGCTTAAAATTGAAGTTTTAATTCCATTTTAATACCACTGGGAAAAATGATAATGGAAGGGATTAAAAGTTGGCAGGTCTGCACTAGTCTCAGTTGCCCTGCGCCAGAAATCAGATGAAGAAGTGAAGTGCCCGCATTCGCGGGCAGGTACTTCGGTCAAATTCTTATCCTAGTCCAAGTTACCTTCATAGTGGTCTAATCGGACTACCTATGAGAAACCGTGTAGAGGCTTTCAGTTGTAGGAGCCGTTGCGAAAGGGGACTTGTTTGTCCAAACACCTCCCGAACAGAGCTTTTTCTTACACCGAAACACTGATTTGTCCGGCTTAATCGCATTTTTCATTTCACAGAGTTTCTAATCGATGTCTCTAGTAATCCATCATTGTTTATTGAAACAACATATATTTACTGGCTGGTGTCTTCTATTAGGACGAATAAACCTATGTCAAGCAGAAGGCCAGGTAGCACATTTGCAGAGAAATACAGCACGAAATCATATCCTGGGCAACAACGGGATTCGAATGCGCTACCTCCTCGCTTCGAAAAGAATTCGGTTGGTGATTTTATCCGGCAAAAGCTGCTTCTTAGTTATCCAGAAGGGATTCGATTGTAAAATCTACTGCAAGGACAAGCTTCAGCGCTTTTCCTTTAGGCGAATAATTTCGGAATTTGAGAAAGTTTGTTTTAACATGTTCATTGTACTACGAATTTGTTCATTGCTAATAACATTTTTTTGTAATTTTGTCATGAAAAGAAATAGTAAAATAAAATAAATAAGGGAAGATAGATTGGGAACAATAAATCGTTCATACTGGAATGCAATTTTGGTATATCAATATTTTTAAATATACCATACCATAACGGAATTTTAAAAAGAATTAAACAAGTAATGAAAAAAAAAATTTTTTTTCATTTTTTTCCTCTACAAAATATTTTTCAGCTCTGTAACATCCTTAGAAAAAAGCCAATTTTAAATTAAAATTCCTACAATTAAAAGTTATGCAAAATTAATAAATGAAATGCTTAGAACAGTTTTGATGACTGATTTAAATTCATATGATCGAATTGAATAAAATTGTTTTTAAAAATTGGATTATTTTTTGTCACAATATGGTAGGAAAAGGAGACCGTTAAGTGGTTAAGTAAGTCAACCATGAATCGTTAAACATTGTGCCAACATTTTTAATTGTAAATATATTAAAATTTCAATATTTGAAAAAAAAATAAAAGATTTAAATATCCTTTAAAGGCTTTTCTTCTACCCCCAAATTTTATTATTTGAACCTTTAACTTACGCAGAAAAACCAACTTGCGCCGCTTTGTAAAAAAATATTTTCTAGTTGTAACGAAAATAAAACAATATTTTTTTTTCAATTTAAGTCATTCTTCCACCACTGCATATCAAACATTCAATGTATCTTTTAAAGAGTACGCGTAATTATCCTTATTCTACAAGTTTTACTATTTAATTCGCTACCAATTTATTAAAACTTTTGCAGAAAGTGAAGAAGTTGGCATCCCTGCTTTTACATTTAAAATGTTTTGAAACAATAGCAACAATTATGTACAGCTGGGGAAAAAGGAATATGTATAGATTAAGTGGTGCGTAAACCTATGGTTGTCACGGGTGACTAATAAATTTCAAAATTTTGCTAAAGGAGATTAAAACTAGCACCCCTCCCCAAGTCCTACTAGCTGCCTCAACGTGGCGGTGTGGGGGGGGGGTAACTGGACGGGATGGGCGATGTACGTCGGGAGTTTATCTCCTGGTAGGGCCACCCTATGCCCAGCTAAAGCTAGTAGGTGAACGGAGCCAAGTTAGACTTCCAGCCTCGGGTGCTCGAGGTTTTTCAACCAACAGAAGCTGTCCCCTAACCCTTTATTCCATGGACTCATGGACCTGGTCTAGCTCCGCAAGACCAGTGGGGATGAGAAACAGCAACAAAACTAGCACCTTTTCGTAGCATAATTTTTAGATTACTATTGCGACTGACAGCTATTGTGTGTGCGTGTTTTTTTTTTTTTTTTTTTTTTTTTTTTTTTTTTTTTTTTTAATATGAGCAATTTGAAATGTAAGTTATAGTGGTAGTTACGATTGAATAATTAAAAAGATATTAAATAAATAAAAGTGATTTGAGTTTTTTTATCACTTTTAACATATTTAGTCGCCTCTGGCATCCCTGTTAAAATCATTCTCTTCAAATACAAAAGATTTTGCTCACTTTTAGAAAATATTTCTTCTAGTGTTAGTAAAGACAATGTGTTAATGTTTTAATAAGTTAGAATTAAAAAATATAATAACCATTACATATAAATAATTTAAACCGATTATAAACGTCAAATCGCAAATATTATTATCACTGCACAAGGCTCTAATAACCACAGAGTTTGAGCATTCTTCAAAAAAAATTTCTTTGTAAGTAATTATTTACGTTAATTATTATTGAAAATATATATGTTATATTTATATGTTAATTATTCTGAGCTGCCTACTGCAGCGCTTTTCGGAAACATTTTGATAAAGTGGATGACAATTAAAAACTAAAGCTTTTAGAATTTTCGATAATTTTGTCGATATTTTAATAGTTTACTACGGAAAAGCTGGAACAAAGAGATGTTTCGTATTATTTTATGAGTGACTTTCACGTAGTGGTCTGGAAAATATTTTTTAATCAAGTTTCATAAAAATCGTACATTAAATCAAAAAACTTATCTTCCACAGGAAGAAATTTTTCCAAAAAGCACAAAAAGACAGCAGCCCTTTAAATAAGAATAAAAGAAGTTTCGCCAACCACTAATTAGAACAAAATTAAAACTCACGTAATTTTTTAGCCATGAACTATACGTTTTATTAGAGTTCAATAAAATCTCCTTCCCTTTAGAATTAGATCTATGACTGAATAGAGAAAATGGCCTCACGGATGAACGGTGCTGCCATCTCTCGGTAGATTTCTGTGCTAAACGTTCTCTCTAAGTTTATACTTAATTCGCTTAACGCTTCCTGACTTAATTCATGAAAAGGTCACTGACTGACGAGATAAGCTTATTCAAGCTTCGTTCGAAACAACAGAACTTAATTTGTTTTTTCCTTAAGTGCATCAATTCTAGAAAACAAAAATTTTGTTAAAAGCTGAAATGTTGGAGAAAATGAACACTGTTTTAAACATGAAAATTGAAAGTTTAGGAAAAAATTACTTACGATGTGTTTATAAACAATTCTTCTATAAAAATACTTTCCAATATTCGCAAAATGTTTTCACTACTTTCGTGTGAGTAGGAAAAACTCTAAATTCATTGCATTAAAATGTGAATTTATATATAAAACCTCGAAAGCAATTTACATTACTGTGCAACTCAATATTCATAGATATCTACAGAAATCATGCTTGCTCATTGTGATAATTGTCAACTCTAAAGTCATTAATTTTTACTATCAGTGGAAATTACTTTCTACAATTTTGCAAAAATGTTTAGTCTTACAAACGCAGCAAATTTATCACTATAAAAATATAAAATTAAAAAAAAAGAAATGTTGATACAAAATATATTATAGTTAATATATGCGAATGCAAAATGAAATTGATGCTGTGTTGTTTTTCAGGAAAAAATTTTAAACAATGATTTGAATTTTTCGCTTATCAGCAAGACGTTATTTGTCATATTTATAAGAAAACAAATAATATTTAACGAAATCGATAAAATTTTAAACCACGTTTAAAGAAGTATTTCTTGATTACTTTATTACCTGATCAAAAAATTATGAAAATGTATACAATTTTCACGTTAATTAAAGTTTTGCTTTTTAAACAATAACAACTCAAATTGTTCAAATAAAAAGAATTCTTTCTCAGAAATATGCTAAATTTTTGGAAGGAAAAAAATATATAAGATTTTCTTCAAGTACATTAATAAAAAATAAGAACAAAATATTTCTTAAAATCGAAACTTCAATTGAAGATATCATTTACGGATACAGGACAAAATAATGCTGAACCACTTCTGTACTAATTCTATATAAAGTATCTTTCTTTTAACTGCAAATATTTTAGAAGATTCAGCAGGCCAAGAGTGAAGTCTCAACTTGTTAGATCATGTTTAAAGCTTTTAGAAATGGTGTCATTATTAACTAATAAAGATTCGAATCGACCGAAGTGAGGAGAGGAAGTTAATAACTTTTTTCCTTTTCCTTTTTTTAATAACTTCTTTTTTTTTTCTTGTTTAATAACGCCTTTCCTTTGTTTATTGTTTAGTAACTGCTTTCTATACTTTATCAATGTAAAGAACTCTTTCGGCCATTCGTCTGGAGTAGTGGGGGTAACTATGGTTACGAGGTTTAACTATTTCAAGTAAAAGTAGTTGTGTCATTATTTAAGACAGGTTTCGTGGGGAAGTTTTTTCTATGGAACTTACTCGGAGACACGTTACATAGAGACGAAAACCATGAAAACTTCCCCCGGTTAGCCAGAGGGTAAGAGGACTATAACCCATCATACGTCTACCACTGAGGATATTTTACGTCAGCTATGAGATCGCAGAGAGTCGGGTGCAGAATTCGTTTCAACCAGCCATCGCTGGGATTTGAGCCCGGCTCACCTCATTGGGAGGCTAGTACTCTATCCCCTGAGTCATAACGGCCTTTTTCATTCCTCTTATTAAATGTTTTCAAAAATAAAGCAGTTTTTTAATTAGTTAATACTTCAGAGTTGTTCTTATTTGCCTTATAAAATCGGAGTTACGCCGGAAGAGGGTTTGATCATTTAGGGTTCCGTAGGTGAAAAAAATTGGGATCCTCTGATCTTTACATTATTTTTGAATACTCTGCTATTTTGAGAAAATAATTTTTGCTTTGAAGTTGTTGAGTTGAACAATACCAAACATTGCACATACAAACTATAACTTTATTATTATTACCCGATCTGTAAAATTAAACTATTCCCTTAAATTACATAAAAAGAAATATAACATTGCCGAAACGAGTATATTTGATTAAATCATACGATGCTATAAAATTTATGAGGATATTTATGAGAATATTTATGAAAAATATCTGTGTTCACTTCAGTTACGGCAATTTTTTACTTTCAAAAAAGAAACTCTTTCACCTCTTCAGGAAAATTCTTGTTCCTTTTAAAGAATGATTTTGTTCTCCAATACACATAAATAATTAAAACATGTTTATAGAATGTCTCTTAACTCCAAGTATTTCGCAGTGAAGCTTTTAATGTGGTTGGAACACCAATCTATTTATAAATCATTGAAAATGGTTTCTAGTTTGAGAATGAAAGCTTTTTAACACGTTGCCGCACACTTTTAGTTTGTAAATCGGGCTCATAAAAAAAAATTTATCAATTGTTCATAACCACCATATGTAGTAATATGAAGTTGAACGTCAAACTCATGTTTGGAGGTGAAAATTATCACATTTTGTCACAGCTTTTTTGTGGAAACTCTTGACGACTGCAACCGTCATTCACTCATCACGACATTTTTTTTGTCCTCCCACCCAAACAAGAAAACGAAAAACCTTTTATATGCCATTTGGAATGTTACAACTCTTTTATTCGATAAATTACTCAACAACTAACTAATGAATTCATAAGTACACTTCATACTAATGCATTAGTATATTTCGTACACTAATTGTCATAAAACTCCCAAAATAGCGATAACACACCCAAAAATAAGCTAATCCAAATAAATTTTCAATATGTAATCGAATAAGAAAAGCTAAGTTAAACTGCAATATAAAAATGACGCTCCAATGGAGTGACGTCATCTGCAATGAGCTAACTGTATGTTTAATCACAAGCCTGCGAATTTCACTGTGCTTCTGAAATTGGAAATTTGAGATAGCTAATTTGTAACAGTGACCTCCAGGTATCATTTGTCCGAAGAACTGCGATGGAGGTCTATTAGAAGATGGGACAAAAAACTGGCAGGACGAAGTCAGATAAAAGTGGCCACATGGCTAATGTGAGTCATTCTGTGGGACATAAACTTTGGCAAGAATTTATAACCACTGGATCGGCATCCAGAAGTTTCACTTACGAGCTGCGACGAACGCCCATATGCACAAAGGAATAAAACTGTGACTCAGTGGCTGAGCCAGCTCTTAATGCTGCCACCGGAAAATTTATGTCAACGTCGACTGTGCGTAAAAGGCTTCACTAGCGTCCCGCCATAGAAAGGACCGTTAGAGGTCGGCTCAACAACATGTCCACTGGACGGCTGACCGATCAAGGGCTGTTCTCTACACAGATGAGCCCAGGTTTTGCCACCAAAACTACAGTAAGCGTTGTTTGATTTAGAGAGAATCTAGAATTCAATATCATCCATCAAACATGCGTGAAAGAGATGCATACCAAGGAGACAGTGTNATTGATTACCCTCTACTGGAAAATGTCGGGCAATCACTCACCCAGCGCGTTTTAGACAGTAACTGCTGGGTTAGGTACTACCGGCCATCGATAGGCCGGTATTGTTGGCTCGACAGAAGGCCAGCCATTCACTTTAGTACAGTTGAAAGTGACTTTTGCCGGCACAGACCCGTCGCTTTAGCTGGTGGCAAACAGCAGTTTTGTGGAGCTGGACCTACAGATTTGCTTTTGCTGGGATAGAACAGATTTTTAAGCAGACGACACAAGAATAATCATCAAATCAAGAAATCCAAATATAGCATTACAGAAACTGAAGGATCAAATACATGAATTAGAAGACAGTGGCATTAAATGGAAAACAGTCGTAAAAGTAGTCAAATTTCAAATCCTAATCATACAGAAAATAGGAATAAAAATACTACCATAATGCAAACCAAAACTGTTCAATATCAAAATACCAATAGTTAAAGAAGCAAACTACCTCGGCCTTATAATAACCAGCAAGCTCACCTGAAATAACAATATCAAAAATACAACAGACAAAGTAAATGCAGCAACAACAATAATACAGCCACCAGGGCTCGAAAAACAGCCCGTCCTCGGCGGTCAAAAATTCCCCGAGGAAAACAAATTTCTCGAATCCAGCATCCGCGAGGACGGCCATTTCCCGTTAATGTTCGTGATACATTCTTCGTGATACATTCGTGATCTAGCGCCTCACTTCTAAAATGACCCTCTAATCTCGAAATACAGCAACATACTGCGTCCGGTGGAATTGATGTTTTCTCTGTCTGGAAGTACTGCAGCGGTTGAAAGGGGCTTTTCAGCAATGAACTTACAAAAAAACACATTACTTACTGGTTTTAAACAAGAAGCGTTAAACTCACGAAAACACTCAACCAATGCCAGAACAAGATACTCAGAAAAATCACCCGTGCCAGATATTTCATCAGCAATACAAATATTCAGAAACACCTCAAGATCCCGACCTTATCGCAATATATTTACAAATTAAATGCAGATTTTTGTGACAAGGCCGTAAAATGCAGTGCAGTCAACTTCAACCACATATTCAATTTTGAAAATTACAAAAAAGACATAAAATTAGGACCAATAGCTGCTCACTTTGCATCCGACACCTCATATCACAGTCATCAAAATAAATAACAAATCACAGATCCACCCATAGCATCAGATTCATCAACAATACTGACGACTTGACCAAGCGTTTCCACACGTTGACTATCAATCTACAATCCAGGCCTGAAAGCGGGACGGAAAAGAGAAAATACTGGTAGAAGAACTATTTCAATATTAGATAATATTTGGGAGGAGTCAATCTATTCTCAACAATAACAATTCACTGTGAGGATACTTATCACTGCGACGAAGCAATACTATATAAAAATTGCATCCGATAAAAACAATTGGTAGTTATGGATTTTTATTATTCCCGAAACAAAACTTAAAAATAAAATTTATTTGTTACCAGTTTTTTACACTTTTCCGTCTCGATATATATGGGCTTTCAGCCCTGTTACATTCAAACCCACGCATAATTTAAAGCAAGCCAGCCTCTTATTATTTCCATTATTATTATTTACTCAAGCAAGGTGCTTGAATCCCTATAACAGCAACCATATAGACTGCTAACCTTAAAGTTCTACCACAAATATAAGAAACATGATGGATGGGATAGGGGCCGCTGAGCGGCCCTTGTGCCCAGCTCAAGTTTCAAGACAAGTAAATTGCAATATTAGAAAATACGAGGGTTGCTAGTTATATTTCTGGCCTAATAATGAAAAAACAAATATGTAGGATCGAAACTGGTTTTATTGTTTTTCAAAATATTCTCCATGATGATCAATACACTTTTGCATGCGTTTGAACCAATTTTCAAAACACTTTTTCCAGTT